GATTCGAACATATGCTCTTCCTTTGAATTATACAAAACTTGGGCCACTATGTCATTTGGTGAATATTGTTAATGTTTATACCAAAATTATATATGTTTATGTTTAGCAAAATAATTATTATATTTAATTTTTAATATTTTATTATGACCGACAGTCAAAGATCAACGGCATCCCGTGCTCACTCAAAATCCTGAATTCATCACTGCTCCGTAGTATTTATGAATAATTTTTGGGAATAGATTAACTTACAGCTTCATTTTTAGCACTGCTATCCTTGGTTTGAATCTTTGTACGATCCACCCCTTATGAATAAACAGGATAATATACCAATATAAAATGTGCCAGAAATAGCATGAAGAGAGATTTCCAGTCAACATTATGACTTCAAGTGAAAAGTCAGCTATGTCCAACAGTATCAACTACCATCCAAAATGATGTGCCAGAGCCTTTCCATGTAAGAATTTACAAATAAAATTCTATAAAAATGTTTGAAATAAAATTACAATCTGCATGAAGTTTAGTTTCAAAAACATATATCCGATACCATGCCAGCAGGCCCTGAGAGCCATATAGCCCGACTTACAAGAGAGAGATTTCGATTAAGAACATATGCTGCATTGGTTAATAACAGCTCATTGTCAAATCCATTGAAAGGGAAGAAGATAGAACCAATATGATGTGATAGTATGGTACAATTTCTCCGAATTAGAAAACAAAGAGTAGCAAACGTCATTTCTGCAAGCTAAAACATCACCAAATTTTGCTGACGAAATGTAACAAGTTCATTCAAGATATGCTTAGCATTGAATGGACTGGTATTGATCTTATCAATATCTCAAATCAATGTATGGGGTCTGGATCTGTTATTAGTAAGGACAACCGGATTGAACGATCAGGTCGGTTGAGGGCAGCAGCACATCAATAGGGGGATTGTCATTCTTGTACTGTTTGGGCTCATATGATTACATCAAAAGTTAATACGAATGGATTAATCAGAGTTAAAATACCTAGAATTTAACTGATGCAATTAGAGATTCAACAAGAAATTGAGATTTTGTAGGATCGTAAAAATTTGTGATTTGTGTCAACAAGCAGCCACAAATAGTGATAGCTTAAGCCTTCGTCTGGTTCTTGATAAAACCTATGGATAAACGATGATTTGAGGTTGTCGTAACAGGGATAGCATCTGATTTTCTTGATGGGATTGGGTTGCCATAGCATGGTTTGTATCTAATCGTC